ATTTCAATACTTAAATTCTTCTATCTGCTAGCCGGTATAACTAGACAATGGACGTAAGAATCTAGTCAAGTTTCAGTGGCAAAACTGCAGCATAAAAGGTTTAGGTCTGTATGTGGTTGATCCTGATGTTGGAAAATCGGGACTCAATAGAGCCGGGTCGCAGCTAAAGTTAGTGCGGAAATAATAAAATTGGATACACAAATTTTTACGTGAAAACCCCCTAAATAAATTTGGAGTGAAAACCACGGTCAAGAGTAGAAAAATCCACTACGAAAAAATTTTTTGAGTTACAATCTCTCTTGTACAAGGAGAAACTCTTTCTATTTTTCTCTCCCTTTTCTATATGAAAGGAAAATTTGGAGATTGGATTTTGTTGTGAGAAAACCTGATCAACTCTGATCCTATTATAGGCGAGTTCTAATCTGCTATCCCTTCATCTTCAACAAATATGGGATCTGGATAAAGTTTTTTTTGCAGAAGCAGTAAAAACCGCCTGCTATGTGGTGAATCGAGCTCCATCAACTGCAATAAAGTTAGAGACACCGATGGAGATGTGAACTGGCAAATTAGCTGATTATTCAAACCTCCATATATTTAGAAGTCTAGTGTATGTAATGTACAATCCCAAGAAACTACAAAGCTGGATTCAAAATCTAGAAAATACATATTCTTGGGATATGCTAACAGAGTAAAGAGGTATGCTTAGAAAGAAGGTACTGATAAATTTGTTTGGTGTCGATTCTCTTATTATCTGACGGAATCGTGAGCAACATGAAAATGATAAGATAGAAAGAATAGTGTAAAGATATGATTGATACTCAATCAAATCTTCAAGTGGGAGATTGTTAGATGTCACTTTCATAGATAGGTTTCACTTTTCTAAAGTGGCTTCACTTTCAAAAGTGACAAGCTTCAATTGCGGTAAGTTTTTTTATTCAACAATTGCGGCCCACATTAAGTCACGTTCTTTGAATTTTAGAGTTAAGCACCGCACCAAAAATCACATTTGTTGAAAATAAAGGGATAGCAGATGAGAACTCGCCTATAAATAGGATTAGAGTTGATCAGAGTTTCTCACAACAAAATCCAATCTCCAAACTTCATATAGAAAAGAGAGAAAAATAGAGAGAGTTTTTGATTGTATAAGAGAGATTGTAACTCTAAAATTCAAAGAAAGCGACTTAATGTGGGCGACAATTGTTGAATCAAAAAAACTTGACGCCATTGAAACATGTCACTTTAGAAAAGTGAAATTTAACTTTGAAAGTGACATCTAACGCCTGCCTTAAATAGATGACATATTTCTAATAGGATTCATCTATCGACTATTAATATATATTGTCTGTAATAAATAAAAAGGTCGTCTAAACAATTTTGGCTTATAATTAGGTAAAGATATTTTGGTAAAATGCATGTAAAATAACTTACAGAAGTATGAAAAGTAAGGATAGCAAATGATAAGCCTTGACAATTCAAACATGAAATTGTCTCAAAGTTAAGTACAATGTTGTGGAAGCATTCTTAGTTCAGACTAATATGATATCCCCGAACTAACTCAACGTGAAAAATCTTTTGTCATTCTCGGCTCGAAGTTTTGATAATTCATACATTCACCCTTTCTTTTTTTCCCTAACAGGAAAAAGAGATTGTTGTAGCCTCTGGAAAACTGGCAGACTGCCAAAAGACGATAGCCTCTCTTAGCCAACAGCTGAAGTCATTGAAGGACTTTGATCTAATGCTTGAGATAGAAGGTCCAGACCTCGATGACAAAGAGAATTTTGGCATCACTAATGCTCAAGAAAGTGGTTTGAGAAAATGCTTTATCTCCATCTAGGAGCTAGATACATGTACAAAGCCATTAGAGTACAAAGATGTAGAGAACTTCAATGTGTAGAAGTTCAAGTGTTGTTTGTAAAGGGGTTCTATTGTTATGTTGGGATCCTAATTTAAGCAGGAAATAGAAGGAATCAAAAGTTATTTATCATTGTAATTATGTTCAAAATGTTGTATAACCTTGTATAGTCATATTTTTGGGTGGTGAGTGGATGAATTCTGTGATACCTGACTCTTTCTGCATGAGAAAGGAGCTGCTGAATTTTTGGATTAGTAGGGTGCGTTTGGCAAAATGTAAAAAACTGGGCGAGGATCGATCTTGGCACAGTTTCATTCTAAACTGGTTTTGGTTTGGACTAGCCCTCCTCTTGGCCTAATTTCATTCTAAACTGGTTTTAGTTTGGACTATAGGAGGGTTAGTTCAAACTAAAACCAGTTTAGGACGGTTTTTTGGCTTACAAAAACTGTATACGAAAACAGACCAATATTGACCCAGTTTTTAGCCAAACAGTCATGACCCAAGTTTTAGAGGGTTACCAAACAACTCAATATCATAAATAAAATAATACGATTTGTGATTTGAAAAAAAGTAAGCTAAAAGTATAATTCACGCGTTTCCAAAGTGGAAGCATTTTTAAAATAATTGTTACCTATAACTTGGCACAATATAAATTAATTATGAAATGCAGCTCTCTCTTAATAGTCTGTCACTAATGCACGTACTTTGTTAAATAAAGACTTATTGCGCTTTGTAACGCAATCGGTTCTATGGTGTAGTGGTTAGCACTCCAGACTTTGAATCTGGCGACCTGGGTTCGAATCCCGGTAGGACCTCTTTTTTCACTATAATGTGCTGTAACTTTCATATATATATATTTTTTACTTTATACTGCTCTCTCAAAATTTGAGTTGTTTCAATGCTAGGCTAGCTCTTCTTCATCTCTTTTTCCAGCTAATCCTTTTCGTTGGGTTTTTGTGCTCGAATTTCTGAACTTTTGTTTATTTTCGATGTTGCTACTTGCTAACGCTAAAGTTTTTTACTATTGTCCAGAAATATGTTTGTTTGTTTCGAATATCCTTTGATTTTACTTTTATTTTTTGTTAGTTACTAGAGTCAAGTAGATGATTGTGAACAAAAGGATACTTCCTCTTAGCTTGTCACGAAATAATATTCACATCTCATCCCATTCTTTTCAAATTTAGATCAGAGTAAAAGGAACAAGCAATCATAAAAGCATATTACATGTATAAACGGCTAGAAAAATTGAATTCAACAACTTATAGCGACCAATAACATTTACATCCATATGCTTAAAATTGCATTGCTAGATGCTAAACATCTATGAACAACCAAGAACATATCATTTTCTTCATCTATAAACAAAAAATTACAGAATACAAGGTCATCTAATCAACATACAACAAACTACTCCTGCAGAATAAGGAAGTGTTACATTATATTATCCTTTATTAATCCTGACGCCTTTGCTGATTCCGCTCTCGCTTATAAGCTTTGAAGAGATCAAGACCGAGAAATAAGTTGAGCAAATTCATTCCAGCCATCCCAAAGAGAGCAAGAGGAAGCTCGATTCCCTTGTCAAACTTCGATGCATCGACAATGAGTTTGTATGTAATGAAAATGTGGCATCCAAGCCTTGCTATGAAGAATGCAACCCAATTGAGCATCCACTCTGCTTTCACTATTTTGCTGTTGGAATCACGGAATCCAGCCATTCTTCGTACTTTTCTGCTGTGGAGAAAGATTGAATGCAGCTGCACAAGCCCACATGTCAATGTTACTGGATTGGTTCAAACATGCACGAAGGCAGTAAGCATTTACATGCATGCACGTAGGAGTGGTACGAGTATCTGTATATATTTGTATCCACATCCGATAGAAGACCAAGATTTTAAAAATACATATCCATGTGGATACAAATACTGATAGATATTTTGATCTAAGACGGATATTCAGATATGTGCATCGATCATACACTTGAAATTATTTCGGTTTTCGATTGGTGTGTTTGAACCATATTTTGGTGATCCAAGTATGTAGGTGTAGAGCATATACCTCTTACTTGGCCAAGAAAATACAAGGGTAGCAGCTCTACTGCCACACTTCAACCTTTATCAAGAAAACCAACACCATTATATGGTTTTCTAGTCTGGCCTCAAGAATCAAGAGAAATTGATAAAGGTGCGAAAGCGATGAAAATTCTAAAAGTTCCTAAGGATAACATGCAACAGTGTGAGATACCTGGATTTTGATGGTTATCCGAGATTTTAAACCTTTTAATATTACTAAACCTGCAAAATCAAGGAGATGCCGATTATGCATCTGAAACATACTATTTTGTGTTGTGGTATCATTTTTGTATCTATTATAGTGATAATCAGTTCCACTTCTCTACAACTTTTGAGGGTCTTAAAGCAAACTTTCAACTACCGATCATTTAGGATATTCCTGAAATTCCCCATGGCAACTTGGACTCTAGAAGGGAGGCATAGC